ACGAGGGGCGCCTCTCACATACACAACAGAGGAAAAGGTGGTAGATTACAAGGAAAGTTGCAATCGGCAGAGAGCAGAGAGCGACGAGCTACGCAGCGGTGGGAGATGTGAAGTCTTGAGTATATGAGCAACACAGGGATGGAGACGAAGGTGAGTGTACGATGGGGAACTTTTCTTCAAGTAACCGAGCTGTATACGAACTACACATAATAATACTTCGTATGAGAAGCTAAAAGATAAAGACAACTGCAAAAGATAATTTTGAGGTGTGCAGGCAGGTGAAGGGATAATGAGAAAGTCTGTCGAAGGCCTGTGCGTGCTAATTGGAAGTGAGGGGGTTCAGAAAATGCTGAAGAGCTAAGAGGTTGGTGATGACCATACGAGACACGTATGCCACAGCTTCAGGTTGAACTTCCTGTCAGCTTTCGTATTATAACCGTAGTTCATCTCGATTCTTCACATTGAGACAAAAGGCCTCACCGCACCACTCGTTAAAAGCCAACATTTTGAACGTATCTGGACACATCCTTCGTCCAGAATGAAAATGTTGCCGTTTGGCAAGTGGTGCGGCAAGCTCCAAACCCTGTGATTTAATATGCACTGCACTATGTCTATACACAACTTCCCACCTCGCACACACACACACACACACACACACACACACACACACACACACACCGCTAAAACAAACACATGGAGTCAACCACTTCTCTCAGGGTATCACTACCTCTGTGCAGGAGTCCTTATCCATCAGTCAAATGCATCTTGGGCAGACTGTCGGGGCTTGAACTCCTGATGAGTCGACGAAGGTCTGACAAAACAGTTGGGCACAGTCGTGCTTTTTTCTTGTGGAGTTGTGTGTAGCGAAGAACATGACAACACACACGCAAACCCGTTTGGCGCAGTCATGCGTTTCTTGTGAAGTCGTGTATAGCGCACACAACAACACACACACAGACAGCTGTTGGGGTATGCTAGCACTGTCATGCTTTTCTTGTGAGGCCTGCAGATAGATAGGGGGGGGTTAGGACTAGATTTTGCTATTCTATCGACTACCGTCTTCAGCCGAATAAAACGCCCAATCATTATCACCACATCAGGACCGAGAATTGTGATAACACAGCTATAACAACCGGGCTTTCTATTCGGGTGAAGACGATAACTGTCCTGTCGCGCTTTTCTTGTGAGGTCTGGGGATCGGGGTTAGGACTATGGTAGTTTGCTATTCTCTTGACTACCGTCTTCACCCACCCAAATAGAATGCCCAGTCATTATCCCCGCATCTGGACTGAAAGTTGTGCCAAATACAGCTATATACAGCTATAATGACAAGGAGTCCATTCAGGTGAAGAAGATACTTTGAGGATTGAACGTGGGTGCCTGTTGATGCAGAATTGGCACAGTCATGCTTTTCTTGTGAAGTTGTGGTAGCTGACCCATTTTCACTACTTTTTTCCACACACTGCCATCAAGATAAGTGCACAAAAAAAAAAGGAAAAAAGCAGCGTGGGGGACGATGAAGAAAAGGGAGGCGCAGCTAGTGACAAGATGCTCCGTCTTTGCGTTGGCCAAACCCCTGCTGGGCGGCCCCGACCCTACACCCTGAACCACTGGGGCAAGGGGCAAAGGGGCAACATGCAATATTTCCTTCGCCGTAAGAGGTAACTATGGTTGCGGGTGTCCCCTCTATGTAGCCTTGGAACTAGTAGTAGGTCGGTAGTGAAAGGCGAAAGGAATTTGAGAAAAGAATATTGAGTATTTTTTAGAAAAAGATAAAACAATGGGTTTAGCATTGTAGGAACGAACCAAAAGAAGGGCCCGCTGGGGGGGGGNGGGGAGGGGAGTGCCTCGAAAGGTGGTCCACATCCGACTGAACCCCACGAGTTACCATTGGGCCTAGCGCCTTTACCCAAATAGTAATCTAGACTGAAAATCGCACTAAATACAGCCCAAATGACAGGGCGTTAAATTCGGGTCAAGACGGTAGCTCAGTTGGTACACGAATGAACTGTTGAAATACAGACCTGAGTTCAATTCCAAATGAAACTACATATGAAATTCTTGAATTACCTGGGACCACCCAAGCACGAGTTGCTGCCAAGACGCTCTATTCAGAGTTAGAACTTCCCTGGGCATTTCCCGCGTTCAGATTAGAACGATTGTACCTGGACCTCGTGGCAGTACAGGTACAGTTTCGCCAGCTTTGGCAATTCCGTACCCCGAACTGTGCTGCTGCTAAAGTTTCCCTTGAACGAAATCTGGGCATTTCCTCGTTTCGATGCGGATAATTGTACCTGGACCTCGTGGCACTACAGGTACATTTTCGCAGACAGTTTGGATTAGTCCCCGATGAACGCCGTGCAGCTCAGTGTGAGAAAAACCTGGACCTTTTTCCCGTACATCCATTTAAAGTTTGAAATTTGAAGGCATTTTCTAAAAATTTAACAGAAACTTTAGATTTTTAGAATATAAGAAAGGGGTTACTTAGAACGGCCTCTGC